GTGGGGAATTCCCCTTACTTCATAGAGATTTCCTCTCACTTCCTTTTACATCTCTGAAACAGACAATGAAGGGAAATCCCTCCAGCAACACACTGACAGCAGAAATTAACTGATAACGTTTTAAGCCTTACCTGTTTTATTGAAAACTAAAAACAATTTCTGGCTTTACATACACTTTTAAGGGCTCCTTAAGGCCTGACATGTACAGTAAAATCAGTAGAGCTAAATGAGATCACTTCAACCTGAGTTGGGCACTATTGCTTTAATTTGTATAGCTTTGGCGTTGAAGCTAGGAGAACAGTGTTGCTTTGTTAGAGAAACCAAAATTTTCCTTCCAAATAACCCTCAAACTGTGAAAATGTGGTTTTATTTTATCACAAGCATTTCTCAAAAGAAAAACAATAAACCTCAAAAGAGCTGTGTGACTTTCACTGAAGATAAAATGCTGATGTTTTAACACCCGATACTACAACAACGCCCCTTTGTAAGCACTCATAAAATTGACAATACATGTCCAGCGCTATAATTGTGTTTTGCCAATTTTTAAAATTTCTGGGATTTTCATTATACTGCGATTTATGGCAGACAGATTTATAACTTGTAAAGTTTATGAGCAGAATTAATTAATCATTGACAGCGGGGCAGTATACTGCATTAGCGGTAGCCCCTCCCACTTTTGGCTTGTACATCTAGCTTTTCAATAAGTAATTTTCCAGTTCCATAACTTTGCTCCATTTGAAATGCTTTGGAGGAATAAAAAATTCCATCTGAGATCTTTAAAATGAATATTGGGGGGGGAGACTGGAATGCAACTTTTGTGGGTATGTTCAGCGTCTGGAAAATACCATTCGTTTCAAAGACACTTAATAAAAATTAATAGATGCCTGATGAGAAGACAATTGTAATTTAAAAATAAACAAAAACAGCCCTCCGTCTGTTCTCTGTACCACTAGCAGAAAAAGATTTATGTTAATGTAAAATATGCAGTGACTATGGTTTAGTTTAGTTCACATTTTCATGTAAAACAAAATTAAAGTCACCCTGTCATCACTGGGAGAAAATGGAAGTAAAGCACCCAGCAGAAGAAAAAATGTACCTGCCTGGCAGGTGGAGTGTTAAATCTCCTCTCTCTGGCACAGTGCCAAATGCCACTGCTTTGCAACACTTTTAGATGTGTCAGATAGTGTGCCCCCTGCCAAGTGTTGTAGTTCCTCCCATCGATCCCTACATCTTTATCCTGTAGTGAAGTTGAGGTTGGTGGTAGAAATCACAGTGTCTGATGGGGATCACGCTGTTCCATACACTGTTGGATAGCAGCCTCACTTGGAACTTTGCAAGTCAGTGAAGATTTAATTCACCACCTGATGAACAGGTAAGTATTCTTCTTCCACAGCACGCTTTAACTTTTATTTTTTCCAGTGGCGACAGTGTTTTGGTACACTGCAGTCTTTGTTGAACTTTTATTATTGCAATCCATGCTGGGAATAGAGCTTATTCACTTAGGATTTTTGCTTGATTTAGGAACATTGAACTCTGAGGATGCTATTCTACAGGCCAAGTATTCTAGCCCCTTGCATCTACACATCTCTGCATACTAATATTGTACACTCATAATCATTCTGGAAAAAAAATACATATGAGGTGTGACCATTTAATTCCCGGAATGGACTGTAAAAAAGTGTTTGCTTACCTATACACCAGCAGATGTTGTCACCTTCAAAGTAGTCCCCTTGTGAAGTGACACACTTTTCTAGATGACTGTGCCACTGCCATAAACATTCATGGAATTTGTTTTCTGGAACGCTGTGCAATGTTTTTATTGCAGTGCACTGGATATCCAGAACAGGGGTGTATTTACCGCAAGGCAAGCAAGGTATGTGCCTTGTGTGGCATTTTTCAGGGTGGCGCCCCCCCCCTCCCCCAGAAGAAGGTGTGGCAGGTGACAGAAGATGGGGAGCAGGTGAGGCACTGCCTGAGCTCCGCCATGGGATCTGAGAGAGGCTGCGGGCTTCTAGAGAGTGTAGGTAGAGACCAACTCTCGTTCCTGCACAAGGGTGGCTCTGGGGATGGCTGGCTGTTTTCATTCCGGAGAGGTGCAGGTGAGTGCTGAAAGACCACATTGTGACGATTGCGGCATCAGACCCCAGCCCTTCTCACCAAACTCGTGACCAAAGGACAAGCCAATCTAAAACCGCGCTGTCACGTGCATAACAATACCACGCTCAGCTGCACCCTGCACAAAGATTTTCCAGCTAATGGACCACAATCTCTGTACTTGCAGCCTGGGAGCGATTGTTACTGGGTCAGATTCATTACGCAATTAACCCTTCACACTGCCACCACCTCCTTTTTTGTACAGAGAAAGAGGAAACTCGGCAATATCAGCAATAACACTATGATGTTGAATAATTGTCTGTATACCACTGTCACCGCAGCAGAGATATATAGAGGTTTAAATACACAGTAGCGCTCTTCAGAGACGCTTAGTGTAATATTTAGAAACAGTTCAAAAAGAAAGTAAGATTTATTACTAAAAAGTCAAAATGCAATAAAAATATTTATATGTAGCCATATATATATATATATATATATATATATATATATATATATCCAGAGAGCAATAGCACAGCAAGAGATAACAGAAAGAAGTTTAGAGGGATAAAGTACTTGCCATCAGCCTTGGTTTTGGTTTAAGGGAGAATCTCCCAAAGTTTCGATGTTAAAAGGGAGAATCTTCAACTTCAACTCAACTCAGCTTAACTTAGCTCCAAGCATAACAGCCTTTTTCGAGGAACTCAGCAGGGTGTCTCCTTAAAGCAGAGAACCAATCGCCTCATTTGGGGAGGGGTGTTGTAGGCAGGGAGCTCAGGCTATGACCAAATCCCTCACAAATTATACTATAGTCAATAACGTTTCCTAGGTACATGTAACATCCTATCCACTCGTAGATTAATACGCAGGCGCATCTGCTGAACATCTAGATATGAAATATAACATACCTGGGGGGATGGTTGAGGAGATATAATTTTCTGCTCTCCTGTAGATATCAGACAACTTGTATTAAAGTGACCGGTCTGAATATATGCCTGGTTTTTTATGTAAGTCTTTCATAATTCAAGATATGTAATCATAGGGGAAAATGGATGTTGAATGTGGTGTCTTGTTTACTGTTTATCTGGAATGTCTTTGAGCTCAGTGGAGGACTTGGTTTATGGCTTTACGATATCCCAGATTGAGAAGTTAACAGACATCTAGGCACCAGCTCAGTTGGAATTTTTTAGCTCTGGATCTCTCCCCCGCTGAGCCTTGATTTGCCTGTGACCTCTGCCTTATCCAGACCACATATCACTCAACAGAGAGGGAGGGGGGATGTGGAGGAGCTGATTTGGGAGTAGAAAATGATAGAAGATGGAGGCCTTTGCCAAAATGGAGGTTCGCATCCATCTCTGTGTGCACGTTTGCTACACACATCTCTCTGTCTGTGGCTCTGGGGATGGCCGGCTGCTTTTTCTCTCTCCCTCTCTTTTTTTTTTTACTTGGGAGGAGCCCAATTTTTTGTGTTGCCTAGGGCAGCACAAAAACAAAATACACCATTGGTCCAGAATGTCATCAAATCTGTGAAACAGCCAAAAGTCACGGAGTGCTAAGTCAGGGGAATAAGGTGGTTGGTCAGGTTTTGGAATGGATTTCTGGGCCCGGAACTCGCAAACACTTAACGCATTATGTGCAGGAACATTGTAATGGTGGAGAATCCACTTGTCAGGCCAGAGTTCTGATCTTTTCCTCTGAACAGATTCCTGTAACCTTTTCAGAATGTCCAAGTAACAATGTTGGTTGACCATTGTACCATGTTCTTATGTCATCGTGGACATCTTCCACCACCACTCCTTAAACCACTTGTGCCATTCAAAAACACTTGTTTTCTTCATGGAATGTTCACCATAAACATGTTGTAACAGGGCTAGTGTCACTCGCACTTTTGCCAATTTTCACACAAAATTTTATGTTAGTCCTCTGCTCCAGATTCCTGTCACTCATTTTTCACCAACAGTATAATGCACATATGTGTTGTTTCTTCTACTACTTCATAAAGACTGAGTCAACTAATCTGCGACTTAGGCAAGTGCAGGTTAGAACATGTCAGAACACAGTCGAGTATGAATGGCTGTGTGACTCACCACCATAGTGCTATGTCCTGGGCATTCCAGGAATTGAGTTGTCACACCTCGTATATACATATTCACACTTCTGCCTGACTCCACTGCAGAACTATATAGCTTGGTTGACCTCCATTGCAAGAATTCTTAGAGGCTGGTTGTATATTGACTGGCAAATTGTTACAATCCCTTTCAGTAGTCTTCTGAAAGCCCACTCTGTCATTAGATAAGCTAGTTTTAAAAGACAACAAATCAAGGTAAAATGAATAGACTTTTTTGCTTTGGTGGCAGTAGTTCTTGGATAACATTAGCAGTTTGTTCATTGGTGTTACTTACTGCCTGCAATGTTTCAGCATTGAAATGAACAGATTTCAGCTGCTTGTTAGCCAGTCTGACTTAGGATGTTGTTTTCTATTTTGATATAAGCGCTACCAACAAGAATTAAGTTCCACTCATCTTGCTTTTGTCCATCAAGAATACCCAACTGAGGTAGTTTCACTGGATATGGTGCAGCAAGAGGACAGAGCTGAGCATGGGAACCCATTCAGGTTAGGGATGAGAGGACACCTGAGCTGCTGGTCTGTCAACTCCCTCACCCTAAACCACTGTACACCAAGAAGTTAGGAAACATGTATGTAGATCACTGGGCAGAAAATATCAGACTTCAGGTGATGTTTCACCCCTGGCCCAAGTTGAAAGGTCAGTTGCTTAGATTGTTGTTTAACTTAGTTACTAAAAGCTAGACTTCCCTAGAAAAAAGAGGATATATTTAGATTTTTGCATAAGCCCAAACATGACTTTATATTATTTTTTTTGGTCTTAATTTATTCCATAATGTTTTCAAGGTGGGACTATTGGACTGTGTTCCCATGAGATCCTCTAACTTGACTCCAGAGCAGGAGAAGGACATTGAGGTGGCACGTTGTGGAGCTTTGGCTCTTTGGAGCTGTTCTAAAAGTACTAGGAATAAAGAAGCAATTCGTAAAGCTGGAGGAATCCCGCTACTAGCAAGATTGCTTAAATCTCCTCATTCTAACATGTTGATACCTGTGGTGGGCACTTTGCAGGAGTGTGCTTCAGAGGTAAGTATCTATACCTGTTTCTACACACCTACATTCCTATTAGGGATTTTAGGAATTTCCCCACATAGATTATGAGGGTATTTTTAGGCTTATAATGATTGCATTTTTACAATTAGATATATGAAAAATCAGGCTGTGTGGACTTTTTATGAGATCAAGAAAAAAGGAAGCCGGTGGACAGGTTAGAATTTTGGTAGCTTTTGATGGCTTTGTATATTTGTTTGAGAAAAATTATAAATTTTGCATTTTACAAATTAATTTTTTCATTTGACTTTTTTTTAACAGCATGCAAAAATGTAATAAAATGAACACTTAACATAATTTAAATGTTGATTGTAATTTCAGTCAGATTGGAAAAAACACAACCTATTAAGTGATACCATCAATAGAAAATACCCACAAATAAGTGATTATTTAACAAGACAAAATATTAAAGGGCACAGTTTAGTGGTCAATTATTCATGTAGTCAGAAATTAAATTTAAGTGTATACTGATCATTGCATTTCGCATTGAAGATCGTACTACACACAAATCAGTAGAGTAGGAGCTTTAGGAAATCACAAGATTTTTGGAGTAAAAAAAATTACCTGTGGCTTCCTTGTAAAATTCCTGAGGTCTGTGGGCTTTGTGATGATTTGGTGACATTAAAGACTGCAAGCAGTTTATTATTTCCCATCCAGACAGACCCTGAAAAACGTGTACTTAAACAAGGAGATCAGCAAGGCAAAAGACATGTGCAGCACTTCTAACCAGGAATCATACTGTATATGAAAGGAGTAAATAAGGTCATCTACATTTTTATATAAAATAAAAACTGTACACAGAACCAGGGTTTAAAAAAACTCATACAATAATAAGATTAAAGTAAAAGGATCTTTATCGTATAGTATGTCTAAAGAGAAACATTACAAAGACTCAAGTTGTCCCTTGAAATATACCTGTGTGTTGCATGCAAAGATATGCAGTTGAAAATAAAGTCACAGGCAAAAAAATAAAAGTTATAATTTAAACCATTTTCAGGCAAAACCGATCAAGTATAGGGTTTAACAAGTCATTTTTAGCAGTTTAGCAAACAGAGGAAAATTACATTTGATATAAAAGGTCAGATAGGAACATAAATTTTAAAATGGTCCTAAAGCCTATATTTCATAATATTATTATAGCATAATATCAAATGTAAATCTGACCTATTGGTCGTTTTTATCTTGGCAAGAGTCTAGTTGTATAACTGCGGTTTTATATTTTTATGTTTTTGACTTTTCTTCCCCAGAAGAGCATAAAATGAGAATGGTATATTTTTCTATGAAGTAACCTTTTACTCTGTTTTCCACATAATTTCTAAATATGGTGTATCGGAAGATTGGAGTCCCCTGATACACCGGGCTAAAACATCTGTGCGAAAACTAATTGAAACTTCTTCTGTTAAATCCTCCATTAGTGTTTATTACGGAATAGATGGTTATAAGGTTACCATCCAAGCTGAATGGTCTTCTGATTAACCTTTTGTTTGGTACTTAAATAATTAAAACAGCATGATGATGTAAACTTTGGATGATTCTCTGAAGAATGGGCAATTTCATTCTCTACTATTTTATTAAGCTTTGTAAAGTGATAGCAGGTCAGATGATGTGGCCACAGTTTTTTTTTTGTCATTAACTTATTGAACTCTGTTTAATGTGTTAAGATATCTATTTGTACAGCATATATTAGTGTGGTTTTTATAGAGCTTTCATAAAGTGTTTAGGCTTGACTACAAAACCACATGAAAATAAAGCAAAAAGCAGATTTGTAGAAACAATAATATTCCAGTAAGACATTTTCATAAGTTAGTAGTTACATATAAAACAAAAAAGGCAGAAATCTAAATATGTTTTGCTCTTTCATAGAAAAGTGGAAAAAACAATACATATACCACCAGCATACTGTTTGGCAGGAGTGTCCTGCTTAAAACACTTGTCAATCAGCTGTGTTACATGATTCGGGGAGGGGATAGCCATAGCTGGTTGCTGTTTGCACAATAGAGCCTGCTATGCAGGGATTCTGGGGAACTCTAGCTTAAGAGACCTGGTGTGGTGCCTCTCTTAAAAAATAAATAGCTACCTATTTTTTTCTCTGCAGATTCACTTTATCTTCAATAGTTTTTATTGAGATTTTTCAAGTTACAAACAGTGCAAAAGACAAATGGATGTCGAATAGCACAAAAAACACCTGGGTTAACAAACAGCAGACATATCCTAAGAAACTTAAGAATCTGTGCGAAAACAATTGGATAATTTAAGCAGAAAATTCCCAGCATTAAGTTCACCAGATATAGGAGAGTCAGTGGTCATAGCCCCATATATCACACAGAATGGGCATAAAGGAAAACATGACAGATGCTGTAGAACGAGTAAAGAGTAGGTTCAACTAGCCCCAGAGAGAGCGGGGAAATAAAAAGGGGACAGTAAAAAGTAAGAGAATTAAGTAAATAGGAACGAGGAAAGAAGAGTGTCAAGTCGGGAAATATCAAGGTATGGAAATGTATTGAATTCATGGGTCCCATGTTCTATCAAATTTGTCCGTATTGCTGTGTAGAATGCAGGTGAGTCTGTCGATAATCATGATCCAATTCAATTTATTCTTAAGATATTCAAGCAGAATAATTGATCTCTTCCAGAGTTTAGCAATAGTAATTCTTGCTGCTAACAGCATATAGGTAAGCAATTTAAGGGACTTTTTTGGCACTGTACTTGGAAATTTATGAAAGAGGGCCATCTCCAGGGTCCTGTGAACATTCACCCCCATCATTGTGTAAATAAGGTTAAACATGCGGATCTAAAATCTATTTGCTATCGGGCATCGCCGCCAGACGTGGAACATAGAACCCATCTGGCTGTAACGCCGAAAGCACATAGGTACAGCAGATGGATGCACCTTCGTAATCCGAGTCGGAACCAGATGCCATCACAATAATGTTTTTATAATTTGCCTCAATTAAGGTGGTATTGATGGAAACTTTAGATAATGCTAAGGCTATGTCTTGCCAATCGGGTAGATCATAGCTAGAGAGTAAATCTAAAGATTTCAGTGGGAGGCATCTGCAAATTTTCTTTAAATGTTGGAGAGGGCACCACGGAGGTAATCTCCTATCCGCAGTAACCCTTTGTTGATCCACCAATGGAATGGGGCCAGAACCATGCCAGGTACAAATTCAGGGTTACAAAAGATAGGGGCTAAAGGTGTGTGTGAGGAAGCCAAGGATTTGCGATGGCATACCCTATTCCAGATTGTCAACAAAAAAGATAAAGTGGGACATAATATAGGAGGGCGAGATCAATTAGCGAGGCAGAGTAAGGAGCGAACCGCTACGGGGTGGCAGGAGAGAGCTTCAATAGCAACCGAGAGGGCAGTAGATTCTTCAGCTGTAGTATAGGCCCACTGCGCTATTTGGACGGCTTGGAAATATGCTTGGAGGTTAGGGAGGCCAATCCCACCATGTGATTTTAAAACATATAATGTCTTTTGGTTCATCCGAGGCCTTCTGTTGTTCAAAAAAAACGAAGCAGAGTTGATCTCAGAATTGGAATTGGTATGGTTCTAAAACAATATAGTAACCAAGGCAAAAACGTAATTTTAATAGAGTTGATCCTGCCAAACCAAAATATAGAGTTAGCAGCTCAACGACGAAGATCCTTCTTAAGGCGTTTTAAAAGAGGGGGATAGTTTGCTTGGTAAAGGGACTCAATTGAAGCTGTCAAATGAATCCCTAAATAAGGCAAAGAACTGCAGGCTCATTGAAAGTCATACATAGTCCTGAGTTGTCGTTGCATGGCAGAGGGTAACGAAACGTTAAGGGTTATCATTTTCTGAGAATTCAAAGAGAGCCCAGAAAGTTCAGAGAAATGGCTCAACAGAGATAATAGGTTAGGTGTGGTGGTCAAAGGGGAGGTAACATACATAAGGACATCCTCAGAAAGAAAGCGCATTTATGTTCCTGATGATCGAAGTGAACCCCGTGGATTCCAGGCTAAGGGTTCTATTGCCATTGCAAAAAGTAGTGGGGAGAGTGGACAACCTTGTCTAGTGCAGCATCGAATGGGGAACATGGGTGATCTACAACCTCTAATGGACACTTGAGCAGAGGGAGTGTTGTATAATGATTGTAGTAGTGTAAGAAATGCAGGACCAAATCCATAAGCTCGCAAAATAGTAAACAAATATTCCCAAGTTAAGCTATCAAAGGCGGAGGTCCAGAGAAAGAAGCAACAACTCCCGAGAAATAGAAGCATCCCAATTAGAGTGGACAGCGGAAATCAAAATTATGGACCTATGAATCTGATCCAGTATTTGGCGACCAGATATAAAATCCGATTGGTCTTTGTGAATATATTGTGCCAAAAAGGAATTAAGACGCAGGGCCAAAAGTTTTGTCAGTATTTTAAGGTCGCAATTAATTAGCGAAATAGGTCGATAATTAAGGATATCGGTAGCATCTTTATTAGGCTTAGGGATAACGCTAATATATGCTTTGTTTTCATCTAAAGGAATCACACTGTCCTCCCTCAAATAGTTGAAGTAAAGAGCCATATGAGGGAGAAGTTGTTCAGAAAATGTTTTATAATACATATTTGATAAACTGTCAGGGCTCGGGGATTTTATGTGACTTTAGCATTCTAATAACTTTACCAAGCTCCTCACTAGTGATAGGTTGTTCCATAAGCTCCCTGTGGGCTTCAGTAAAGGACGGAAGCAGTAGGGGTCCCAAAATGTCCTGAAGCAGAGAAGGCTCAACGGGCCTTGGTTGACTGTATAAGGTAGCATAGAAGTTATTGAATTCCTGAAGGATCTTCTGAGGATCCTGTGAGATATGACCTCCTGAGAGCCTTAGCTTAGGAAGGGCCGAGTAGGTATGCTTAGGGGAGAGTTTATGCGCCAAGAGTGAACCTGGTTTGTCTCGCCATGTGAAGAATTTATGGTTCATCCATCGTAATTGTTTTTCTGCCTTTATGGTAAGACAAAGATTGAGTTCTAAATGAGCTTGCTCCACCTTAAGCAATAAATCTTTGGATGGGCTAGTAAAGCCTCATATTCATTGGTTTTGGCAGAAGTCAGCTCTGCGCAAGATCGTTTAAGTCTAGAGGATAGTTGGATGAAAAAACCTCTGATAGAGGCTTTATAAGCCTCCCAGTTAATAGCAGGGGTCATATCTTCCAGTTTATTAATGGTAAAATATAAGAGTTCAAGTGTTCTATTACTTTGAGGTGGATTGACTCATTGCTAAGAAGGGATGCATTCAATCACCAATGTGGCTTAGCCAGGTTGGTAGTTAAATTAGAGAGCTTTAACAGCATCAGGTCGTGGTCCGACCAGGGCGTTGACACAGTTTTAGCCGAATTTAATTTGGGTAGCAGCTCCGTAGGGAGAAAGATGTGATCGATATGCGAATAACGATTGTGAGTTCTAGAAAAATGAGAATAGTCTCTAACAGTAGGATTGGCCTCCCCCCATGCATCTATCAGTCTATAGCGAAACAAAAGTTGTGCAAATTCGTGACTTTGTTTCGGAGGGGATTTAAGTTTGGTTGTATGTAATTTATCAAGTGTTTGGTCTAAGGCTAAATTCGAGTCTCCTGATAAAATTATATCGTCTTCCAACTCCGGAGATAAACAATTGAAACAGGGATCAAAAAAAGGCTACCTGATTCACATTAGGGGCATAATAAATTAGAAAAGTCACTGAATTCCCCCCTAAATGGCCTTTGACCAATAAATATCACCCTTCTTTGTCCCATATCAGATTCAGTAAAGGATAACTGTCGTGCTAGACAAAGCGCTACCCCTTTTTTTTCAATGCGTTAGCAAAAAAGCATACAGGGAAATCCTTATAAATATACCTAGGCATAAAAGAGGAAGCAAAATTGGTTTCCTGTAGCACAACAATATCCGCTCCTAGGGATTTATTACGAGAAAAAAACCCTAAGACACTTAGAGGGGGAACCTAATCCTTGCACATTATGAGAGAGAAAGTGAACAACATTACTATTAGGTCTTAAGGTGGACATTGAAAAAAATCAACACAGTGATGGTGAGACCCACACACCCATCTGTGTGGATACCGAGTATCCAGTACCGAGGAGAAAATCCTGAGATGTCCCTCAATTAGAAACAGTGCAAAAAAAAGAGGGGGAAAAAAGGAAAGAAAAAAGAAGAGACAAAAGACACTGAGCCCAGAAAATGGCTAGCATCAAACCAAGTGACATAACAACAATATGCAGCATAAAACAGTAAAGTACCAAATATCCCAGACATGAAAGAGTCTCCGCCAAAGCAAAGCAATGTGGAGAGACTTTCGATTAGGGAGAGTGCATAGACTCTTCCCGGCACTATGGGGTCTGTAAAAAACATATATGATAAAGGCTCCTAATACCCAAAACTAGAGTATCTGACATGTAAATAATCTAACCCATAAACATTTAAAGATTTATCTGACTAGAGAACAAAACCTATACAACAATTTAAGAACAAATGCGGGGCTAATACCCAACAACAGGACCATGGAGGGGTCCCCACCCAATATACGATCAGCCGGTAACCAGCAGAGTTTTTAGAGAACCTCTTAGATTCTGAAAAAATGGGGTTTAATGATTACATCCCAAGGGGGCCCATCCGGTTTTAAGGGGACTAGAGCTCTGTGGATACGGTCTATCTCTGTGTGGATGTTGTCGGTATCTGGCACTGCTGATAGTATAAGAGAGGGAACAACTGAAGCAATATCTTTGACCGTTTCTGGCAGGTCTGTAATCTGGAAGTTGTACCAATGGGCACGGTTCTCAAGATCGTCTATTTTCGCATAAGCTTCATCTAGGCGATCTTGTAGGTTGGCAATCTTGTTGGAATTCTGAGACACTCTGTGAACTGTATCATCAACTTTAGTTTCAATGTTCTCCAGGCGGTTTCTGATCTTCCTGAAATCCTGTTATAAGTCAGAGGCTAATTTAGTGGTAGCTTTTTCCAATTCCCTTTGAAGTAAATCAGCAAAACGAACAATAAGGACGTAGTCCCCTGAGTAGTGTGGGGGCACAGATGGATAAGCAGGAGAGTCCGCTGGATCTGCAGGAGCTGAATCCTGCCTGCTGATTTGGCTGGTGAATACAGGTGAAACTCGAAAAATTAGAATATCGTGCAAAAGTTCATTTATTTCAGTAATGCAACTTAAAAGGTGAAACTAATACAGTATATGAGATAGACTCATTACATGCAAACCAAGATAGTTCAAGCCGTGATTTGTCATAAGTGTGATGATTATGGCTTACAGCTCATGAAAACCCCAAATCCACAATCTCTGTTCCGCTCTTGATCAACAAACAACGTCAGATGCTCAGTGGTCCAAAGCCCTCTTTACTGATGAGAGCAACTTTTGCATCTCATTTGGAAACCAAGGACCCAGAGTATGGAGGAAGAATAGAGAGGCACACACTGCAAGATGCTTGAAGTCCAGTGTGAAGTTTCCACAGTCTGTGTTGATTTGGGAAGCCATGTCATCTGCTGGTGTTGGTCCACTGTCCTTCATTAAGTCCAGGGTCAACGCAGCCATCTACCAGGAGATTTTGGAGCACTTCATGCTTCCTTCCGCAGACAAGCTTTATGGGGATGCTGACTTCATTTTCCAGCAGGACTTGGCACCTGCCCACACTGCCAAAAGTACCAAAACCTGGTTCAATGACCGTGGGATTACTGTGCTTGATTGGCCAGCAAACTCACCTGACCTGAACCCCATAAAGAATCTATGGGGCATTGCCAAGAGAAAGATGAGAGACATGAGACCGAACAATGCAGAAGAGCTGAAGGCCGCTATTGCAGCATCCTGATCTTCCATAACACCTCAGCAGTGCCACAGGCTGATAGCTTCCATGCCACGCCGCATTGAGGCAGTAATTGCTGCAAAAGGGGCCCAAACCAAGTACTGAGTACATATGCATGTTTATACTTTTCAGAGGTCCGATATTGTTCTATGTACAATCCTTGTTTTATTGATTGCATGTAATATTCTAATTTTCTGAGATAGTGGATTTGGGGTTTTCATGAGCTGTAAGCCATAATCATCACAATTATGACAAATCACGGCTTGAACTATCTTGCTTTGCAGGTAATGAGTCTATCTCATATATTAGTTTCACCTTTTAAGTTGCATTGCTGAAATAAATGAACTTTTCTACGACATTCAAATTTTTCGAGTTTCACCTGTATGTCAGCCATTTCTCTGTCTAACAGGGAGGAAGCCTGGGAATCATGGCCTGGTGACAGGACAGCAGCCTGAGGAGGAGACCTGGTGGGGCTGAAGAGAGACCCAGAGGGAGTGGAGTGAGCACTCACGTGATCCATGGAACCAAGGGAGCTGTCACTATGCGTCCCAGGACTAGAGGGGAGCTGGGCCCGCTGTGTTGTGTGCTATTTCTCCTCAGCAACTGAAGAGCTCTGGGAGCCGGGGCCGGCCGCCTTCTTGCCACCCTCTTCATTGTGGCAGCGCGGGAGCTGCCCGCAGATCTCCCAACCGGTGGGGTGGGCATCGGAGGTCCCCCACCCCCTCCTCCAGCAGGCCTGATAGGTAGCAGGGAACAACAGAGTCAGGAGTGGCTGATTATCCCCCTAAGGCGCCAGGAATGTGCGGAGCGGCTAGAACTGCATCTGCTCTGGCTGCCCGTGCATGCGCTTTCTCTGCAGATTCACTTTAAACCAAACTTGTATTTTTCTACGTAAGACAAAGCAACAGGTCATATCAATGCCCTTTCCCTAGCAGCATATATTGATATTTTCCCTGCTTCCTGTCGCTCTGAAAATACCTGGTACTTCCAAGTATGGATGAGCACGTGACTCACACACCCACAGATTCCTTTCCTATGACAGCGTTGATTTTTGATAATTAACTCAATGTTATCCAATCGGAGTGAGGAAAAAATCTTCAGGCCTGTTTAAGCACTGTCTAGAGGGATTCCTGTCTTGGCAGCTGAAGTTATATGCAGATCTTTATTTTCTTGTACAGGCTGAGCTTGGTTCCACTCCCTCAAACCTCTAGCTCCTATGTATTGATCATAGAGGCTTCATATCATAATACAGGTCCAACCCATAGTCTTTGAAGTTGGGAGGGAGTGAAGTCAAGTGCGACTTCAAGGAAGCAATAGGCTTTGCAATTTTGAACTGATCATTTTTATGTGAAATACTGATGTTTTTTAAAGGTAACATCTACTTTTGCATGTTTGTCATATGATAATATAATATAGTCTCTATTGACTCCAATCCCTTGTCCAAAACAAGCAGCATTGCAAACCATTCTGCAGGTACGATGCCTGCTTTTGGCCTCCTCCATTCCCATGTATAGCTCCAGCTCAGAGAATATCACTCCTTAATATCAATAAGTATCATACTGATATAACAAAAAAACACTTTCAGTGGTATATTAATGGACCAAAGGGGATGAAATAAGAGAAGATAAGGGGAAGTTTGGGAGTTTTTTTTTCCCAAAATTATACTTACCTATGTGGATGCAGCATCCGCATCTGTCCCCCGCTGTCAGCTGAAAATGGGTCACAGGAGTGCAGAAAGAACTGCAGGAGAAGTACAGCAAAAAGAGCTTTGGCTGTACTTCTTTAATTTTTAGGGTTTACATATCCTTTAAGTGAACAATATGATAGCATGTCCTGTGCTTGACGAGGAGATTACACTCTCCTTTATAAAGTAACACCATAGTGTTCCTGTCATACCCAAAAGTACAAAAAATTGCATATATGAGCCAAGAAGGAGTATTTTTTATTTGTTAATCAATTTATGTATTTCACATTCCCTACCTATTTTTCAGCCAAGTTACAGGCTTGCGATAAAGACGGAAAAAATGATTGAAGATTTAGTAAAAAACTTGAACAGTGAAAACCAAGAGCTACAGATGCATTGTGCTAGTGCTATCTTTAAGGTACATCTTCTTTATTACAATATTTTCTGCTGTTTATAATTTTGTGGTTAAAATGCTATCTGTAATAAAGATTTGTGCAGCGCTAATAAAGTGCATCAAAAAGTTATTTCATGTGCATAGAAATTCATATAACAAATAAATATGTGTGTGTGTTTGTGTATATATATATATATATATATATATATATATATATATATATATATATATAAAATATATAATAATCTTCAACATAAAATTTAATAAATTAAGTGATAAACACACCACTAAGGTGAACGAAAAGTGCCTGTGCAGCTGTATATAGCACTTCAAATAAATGTCCGAATGAGAAAAAAAGGACCTCCACAGATCGCTTTTTAGAGTAAATGGGATTGCTGCTTGAAGTTTACCCTGTTAGAGAATTGTTCACCACATGGAGCATGGGATACAGTACTGTATATAGTGTAGTACTTATTGCTGAATGGGTCAAAACAATTAAAATCAGATCATAAACCCACATGTAATACAAAAGACAAATGTGGCTGAACTTACTAAGATGTCCGCTGATCCAGGACCTAGACATGGCAGCGTGATGTCAGCATGTAAGGCCCCTCCCCACACCTTTCGTGCACACGCACGTCTTCAGGTGATATGCCTACTGCTGATGTTTGCTCGTCCTCCTTAAATAGCTTGTGAATGCAGCATGAACTAGCATGAGCCATTCTGTTGTAGGCTAAAAAGCATCAACATTTTGTTGTACGAAAAACTTCCATTTTACTGTGGGCCAAGCAGAGAGCACCATTTTGTTGTGGGCCAAATGAGAAGCACCAGAAAATTGAAAACCAAATGCAATCTGCCATTAAGCTACATGGCAGAACAAAGTGCTCACCCTTTTCAATAAAACCCCACATAATAGCCCATCCAAAGAGCACATGTGTGTACTATAATGCACACAATAGCCCTGAAAACTCACACATAGGCTTATTCATAGCTATTAAGCAAAAAAAAAAAGAAAATTGCAACAAAAAAAAATTAATATATATTAAATAAACCAATAAAAAATGGTTAATAAAAAAAGCAGGCTATTTAAGACACCTTATATCAACAAAGCAATATATATATAACTAATAAAACAGAAAATAAAAATAAAAAAAGAATAGGAATAAGAGACATTCTCCTAATATAGAGAGTACATTAGAATTTTAATAAAATTGTAATACTGAGAGTGCAGTAGGAGTACATATAAAAATATATCCTTATATTATCCATTCAAAAAATATATGAACAATGAAATAAATAAAAATAAAAGAGCATACAAGAAGCTAAATGGAGCATACGAAAATCTAAATAGAGAATACAAGAAGCTAAATGGAAAAATACTGGATAAAATAATGGATAATACTGTAGACCCTAACTATTATCTATAAAGCAGTTAATGTCAATGTCAATATTCAAACCTAAAGGGAAAAAAGTACGCATCTTGTATATCTACCTGGTTTCCAGCATGGATACCATCCTACGCTTGATACATCCCCTCCAATGAGGACGAATCAAGTCTATCTTCTCAAGATCCCCCAGTGTTTGTTGATAATATTCCTGACCTGTGTGTTCTGTATAGAAAAATTAGTCATGAAAGGGCAAACCATTTCAGATTGCATCCTATCCAGCTAACTGGGTTTCCCTAGCCATATTCACTACCTGTTTTATAGCATTATCCAAAAACACTGTTTTATCCTTTTTCCAAAAATCTGTCCCTCAAAACCCCAGACTGTGCATAATAATCATTTAAGTTGTTAAAATTTTGCCTTATCCTCACAAATTGGCCCTTCGGTATACTCTTGAGCCAAAGAGGATGGTGGCAACTGTCAGCTAGAATGTAACTATTTTTGTCAGTGGACTTAAAAAAATCTTAGTGACAATTCTAGTGCCATCATTCACAAATGTTAAGTCCAGAAAGTTTACTCGGAATGAGGTTAACTTTCTGAACTTTACATTAGTGAATGATGGCACTAGAATTGTCACTAGGTCTATTTTCGTGCCCTCTGTTTGGCCCACAGTAAAATGGCACTTTTTCTGGCTAGCAACAAAATGTTGATGTTTTTTAGCCTACAACAAAATGTTGTGCGCTAATTCACTCAGCATCCACAGGCCATTTCAGGAGAAAGAGCACGACGTCAGCAGTAGGCGTATCCCCTGAAGATGTGCATGTGCACGAAATGCATTGGATGGGGCCTTACGTGCTGATGTCACGCTGCCATGTCCATGCCCCAGATCAGCGGCCATCTTAGTAAGTCTGCCCCATTTGTATTTTCTATTTCACGTGGTTTTATGGTCTGATTTTAATTGTTTTGACCCTTTTGGCAATAAATGCTACACTATATACTGTATCAGGCTCCGTGTGGTGAACAGGTGAACAATTCTTTAACAGGATAAACTTCAGACAGCGATCCTTTTTACTTTGAAAAGCGATCTATGGAGGGCCTTTGTGGCTGGAGTGCCTTGCTAGGCTCTATGTCAAATGATTTCTGGTCAGTGCATACTGCCTGAGGACTGGCACCGAGGACATTTTACGTTTGGTTTGCTGTACTTTGAAGCTCCATTAGTGGAGACTTTTTATTTGGATGTTTTTCTCGTTTGGGTACTATTTGAACTGTTATATACAGCTGCACAGGCACTTTTCATTCACCTCAATGGTGTGTTTATCACTTTATTTAATATTTTATGTGGCAGATTATTTATACACTTTTTGTATATTTATACATATTTTTTTATGTTATATGAATTTCTATGCACATGAAAGAACTTTTTTGATGTACTTTACAAGCTCTGCACAAATCTTTATTGCATTTAACTTATTAGGCTTGTTACCTTAAGTGCCAGCGGCTCCTACCTATAAGCGCTTGCTGTTCTTTTTGGTATTTGTTTGAAAATGCTATCTGTTTCTGCCTAAATGCAATGTATGATGGAGAAAGAAACACTACTGTACTGTGATGATGCTTAGAATGTATTAAAATTATTCTGTTTAAGTGAAACAATTTGTTTTTTAATTATTGACAGATGTACTACTTAACTTGTCAGGGACCTTGGGTAGACTCTGCCAGTGTAATTGGCAGGACTCAGCTATTAACCATCAGCATTGCATCAATAGTGTAGCACAACCATCAATGCGATATATGCCATAAATAAAAATCCAAGTATACACAATTGCATTGATGGTTGTGCTATACTATTGATGGAATGCTGATGACTACTCTGTGTGCACAAATATTAGGTGAGTATTTTGAGCAAATTATCATTTTTATGCATATGGTTTAACTCCAAGCTATATAAACTTGAATGCTTATTGGATTTAATGATATCTGTTGATGTGTATTTGTGTAATGAGGTAGGGTGTGGCCTAAGTAGATCAACACCCTATATCAAGATGTACTTAATTATTAGGCAGCTTCTTTTCCTCAGGCAAAATTTTTTTTAACTGACTCTGAAAAGTCAAAAATTGTAAAAAGTTTTTTTAGAGTGATGCAGCACTCTTGAAATTGCTAAGATTTTGGGGCGTGATCACAGAACCATCAAACGTTTTGTTGCAAATAGTCAACAGGGTCACAAGAAACGTGTTGGAAAAAAATGATGCAAATTAACAGCCGAAGAATCAAACACAAGCTACCAGGAACCCATTATCCTCCAGTGCTGTCATATTCCAGAACTGCAACCTACCTGGTGTGCCCAGAAGTACAAAGTGTTCTGTGCTCAGAGACATGGCCAAGGTAAGGAAGGCTGAAACCCGACCACCACTGAACAAGACACACAAGTTGAAAAGTCAAGACTGGACCAAGAAATATCTGAAGATACATTTTTCAAAGGTTTTATGAACTGATGAGATGAGCGTAACTCTTGATGGACCAGATGGATGGGCCTGTGGCTGGATCAGTAACAGGCACAGAGCTCCACTTCAACTCAGATGCCAGCAAGGTGGAGGTGGGGTACTGGTATGGGCTGTTATTATTATTAAAGATGAGCTAGTTGGACCTTTTTGAGTTGAATATGGACTCATAATCAACTCCCAAACCTACTACCAGTTTTTAGAAGACACTTTCTTCAAGCAGTGGTACAGGAAAAATCTGCATCTTTCAAGAAGACCATGATATGTATGCAGGACAATGCTCCATTGCATGAATCGAAGTACACTGCATGGATAGCCAGTAAAGGCCTTAAAGATGAAAGAATAATGAAATGACCCCCTTCCTCACCTGACCTAAACCCTTCTGAGAACTGTGTGTCCTTCTTAAATGGGAGATTTACTGTGAAGGAAAACAGTACACCTCTCTGAACAGTGTCTGGGAGGCTGTGGTTGCTAATGCACAAAAAGCTGATAATCAACAGATCAAGAAATGGACAGACTCCCTGAATGGAAGGCTTATGATTGTTATTGAAAAGAAGGGTGGCTATATCGGTCACTGATTTTTTATTTTGAAATGTCATAAATGTTTATTTGTAAAGTTTTTTTGTTTATTATTCTCAATTTAACATATGAAAATAAACAAGTGAGATAGCAAAATGTTCCTTTTTCATTTAGTTGTATAATAATTCTGCACTAATAGCTGCCCAATAATTGTGCACACATAGATATTCTCCTAAGAAAGCCAAAAACTCACTTTTACTTTCTTAAATATTCAGGTTTGAGGTTTACTGTAGCTGTTCAAAAATGAAATTAATGTACAAAAATTCAACTTGCCTAATAATTGTGCACATAGTGTATATAAGGGAGTGTTGTTGTGAGTCTACGGTAACGGCGTTATAGCTGCAACCTGGTTTAATTGTATTTATTGCACTACAGTATGTTAGTGGTTGACTGCGTAGGTTGATTTTATTTTTATTCTTTATGCTAGCTATCAACCAGGCCACACTCTGTTTCAGTGATATTGACAGTGGTTCCTCTGTGAATGAATTTTTAAAAACAGTGGTTCCAGGGTTTATTCATAAATACATTTTAACAATGTTGA